AGATATACAAGCATATACAAACAACAAATACATACACAAAAATTAAAAATTTAACATTTCTAGGCATAGATCACTCACCTAACCGTTAGATCTTCAGAAATCTACACCGATCTTTGAGAAATTGGAAACCAAAAACCCTAAACCTAAAGTCAATCTAAGCGAAACAAGAATTGAAAAAACGGAAATTTTAAAGCCTTTTACCCTAATTATACTATAAACACATCACAAGAGAGAGGTAGAGAGAGGTAGAGAGGGGGTCCGCACCTGATTCAGAGGAGAAATCGAGAAATTTCGATGAAAGTTTCGAGCGTCGGCGACTCGGCTTTTGGGGTCTTCGTTGAAAATGTGAGGCTGCTGAGAAGCTGCTGTATACAAGTGGGTGAGTGACAGTGATAGGCTCACCCGAGGATGTACGGGGATAGGGCCACGTGGTAGTGGGTGATATTTCCGTTGAGGTTCGAAGACCTTCGGTAGTTATGCTGGGGTTGCACGTAGTGTACTGTTGTCTCTCTATTAATGGACGGTTTTGATTGTTCTTTGTGCACGAAACGCGGCCGGGTTATGTGGTTGTGATCACGAGAAGAACGGTCTTGATTGATAATTGGCTGAGGGTGGGATTTGTTTTGGGCCTTTGGGCTTCGGCCCGCCAGATCGTTTTTTTTTTTTGGTCAAACGATATATTTTGTTAGATTAATCAACAACAGAGTTTAAACTCACGCTGTCATGCAAGGGCTGAACATCTTTCCACCAGATCGTTAAGGGAAAAAGAATGGGAAGTGACTTTTCCATTTCCATGCACATTTTCCACTTGTACATGATTACTTTTTATGTTTTCATTAAATAAATCAAATTACGAAAATAAATAGATGTATACCAAAAGGGTAATGCTAAGTAGGTTAAATTTAAAAACTAAATGACATATCATTAATTAAAAAAAATAAGTACATTAATCAACAATTAAGTAATAATCTAGAGCTCGTTTGGATGTGCTTTTAAAATGACTGAAAGCGTTTTTGGTGAAAATATTTTTGGAAACAATCCTTAGTAAAATTGTTAGTAAATCCTAGAAAAGCACTTAAAGTGCTTCCTGGAAGAAGCATATAACTGGAGCTTCTTGTAAAAAGCACTTAAAGTGCTTTTGGAACCTAAAAATATTTTTTCTAAAAGCGCTTTCAGTTATTTTAAAAGCACATCCAAACGGGCACCTAATCTTCAGTTTCTATGTCATTTAGTTTACAAAGCCTACACATATTTAATCTCCCTCTCATTACCCATACAAAAATCATTTCATAAAATGAAAAGCTTTTATAATGTTTAAAACTAGGGATTTTTTTTTTTTTTTTTTTTTGGGATACGGGTGTTACTAACACTCGGAAGGGAAGAAAAGAACACATGACCTCAAATGTATGAGTAACCCCTTGAGTTACAAACCTCTTATAATCTACATATGTCATTTAGCATAAGCTTTACATATTCCAAATTTTGATTTATGATACAGAGAAACTTGTAAGTTATTATCACTCGTGGGGTAATAATTGTACAATGGTGATGAGGCTCGCGATGGTGAAAAAACTATGATGTGTGCAACTTATTATGAAAGATGAATCCTGGTACAAAAAGTATTAATTTGGGTCTTTAATGGATGAGGAGGAGTTCTTTCACAATTCAATTCGTGGCCGATTCATAGAACTTTGGCTTATGATCGGAATTGTTAGATTGTGTAAATCACTCATTAAAAGTCACCTTTGCCAAAAAAAAAAAAAATCATTAAAATATGAGATCATTCAGTCATTAACCTATGTAAAAACAAATAGAGGGATTAAGTAAAAACATTATGAACCCTCCATTTATTTTTTACAGTTGATTGACTAAAAGATTTTAGTTTCAATTATTTTTTGTAGAAATAATCTTTACATACTGATTTATAATATAAACAGTTTCATTTATAAACATAAAATTCTGTAAATTGATGACGAACTGTTCCTCAATCTTAAGGATCCAAACTGGTCTCCATCGGTCCAAAATTGGCAAGAAATTGTAGTTCAAATGGTCAAAAGCATTTATCTTTACAACCTTCATATCTCACTACCATTTGTATTAAGAAAATTGTGTCGTCCTAAATCCGAAGAAATATTTGTATAATGTAATAGTATCATAAGGCTAATATAACCAAGGTTTTTGATAATATTTCTTAGAAACAAGCGATGTTAGGAATGAGAGAACTAAGACAAATCTCTCATCTAATCCTGAGAGGCATAGATAAACGTTCTTAAATACTTGAGTCTCGAGTTCTAGTGTTTGTGGGTGCCTACAACGTGCAAATTACTGTTAGATCAAAAAATGTGATTGGTGCTTCTAAATAAAGAACCATTGAGTCAACAATTGTATTTGTAAATGAACCCCGTCGATAGTTAATCTAACAAAGTGTATCGTTTGAAGAAAAAAACCAATTGTATTAGAAAAGATTTGATAGGATTTTTACCACCTGCAAAAGTAGAAATAAAAAAACTTAAAAGTATTTGCAAGAGAACAAGATAGTTGTAGTATAAACGGCTTAATTGAATGAATAATTTGTGTAAAATCCAAATCTTAATTAATTATTTGAAAACAAAGTTTAGAAAAGATTGATTTTGTGACTTAAAATAATAAAAACGAATTTAATTATAAAAAAAAAAACAAATTAAGAAACCAACTAGATAATAATTTAAAGAAAATCAATTAGTAAAAGCACTAGGGTTCCACCATCACCTTAACAATCCTACGTAATTTTCCCAATCACTTATGAATTACCCATGCATATTTTGAAGGTTAGGTTTTCCACAAGAAAATAATTGCTTGGTGAGAAAATGTGAAACTTTGACATGAATAAGCTGAGAGACTCACGAACGTCCTCCAAATGGAATTACTCCAAAATTCATCCATTTGATCACGTTTTGCCCCAAAGGAAGTCAAAAATCATATATTGAAAATACACTTCAAAATATCAAAATTCTTCCAATATAATAACCAAACTAAACTAAAATTAGATAAAATATACAGCATAATATCGACTCATCAAGATTCATTCACATCAATGGAGGACCTATATTAGCAAAAGCAGATGCTTCACATGTGAAAATATTTAAAAGAAAAACACTGAGGACAAATAACCATGGTAGAGTAAAAGATAAGAAATTGAGCTGATCAATCAGCAAAATCACCATTCAATTAGCTGATTCACCCTTCAAAGTGCGCACTTGTAGAAATATGAAAGGGAAAACAAATTTAGGAGATTTAGGTTTGCCAAGTTGGTTAAAACAGTACGCTTCACATTTTAATCTGAATTTGAACGTCAATATTTGTAGTTTTGATGAATCTAGTATGATAATCTTATTGTTCGTCCAAAAATGTAATTCCAGTGATGACCTGCCAAGTAAAATACTAGCAAAAACAACTGAGATTAATCACATGTAAGTATTTCGCCACAAGGTCAAAATAGTGTGATTGGCTTCTTCCCTCAAAGTTATAACCCTCTTCCCATCAATATTTTAGTTTAAAATATTGCCTAAAATTTTTAAAAAGTAATTGATGAATATTTTAGTCGACAATTGTAGGCTAGCTTTGGCCCCAGCCGCACACGCCTTTTTTTGACAAAATCTCATGCCACAGGTCAAAATTTTCAGCTTCTACCCAACGCAAACAAATGCATTGAAAAGGTCTTAAAATGCTACAAATAAATAATTACCAAAATATAAACACTAGCAAAAAGACAAAGGGGTCCCTCTAAACATTACCCATTGCCAGCTTTATAACACTACCGTTTATCATGCCAAATGTCAATGTTGAGGGGCAAAGGGGGCAAAAGGGGCAAAAGAATGTTCTGGCATTTGATGGTGAAAGCCGCAAGCATGACCCCAGTCCAGCCCAGACCAATACCAACATGAAGAAGAAGTTGCAGGCTTCTAGCAGCAGCTCTTTCAACTCAATTAGCTGGTTGCCGGGTCCATTCCCCACAAACCATCCAAGGCAGTCATGTGGCCTGTCTGTGATTATGAGACTAAAAACGTTTTCTGATAACTAGAAGCGTTTATGACTATATTTATCAGCAACACTCAAAAGTATACATCATATAAGTGCTTTATGGAGAATAGGGACTCGTTTAGATGTGTTTTTAAAATAGCTGAAAGCGCTTTTAGAGAAAATGTTTTTGGGTACCAAAAGCACTTTAAGTCTTTTCTGCAAGAAGCACATACGAAAGCATTTTAAGTGATTTTTCAGGATTTACTTGTATTTTTATTAAGGATTGGTTCCAAAAACATTTTCACCAAAAGCGCTTCCAGTTATTTTAAAAGCACTTCCAAACGAGCTATAGGTATCGTTTAGAAGTGATTTCAAAATGGTTGATGCTTTTGAAATAGCTGAAAGCACTTTTGGTGAAAGCTTTGTTGAAACAAATCCTTGTAATGCAAGTGAATCTTGAAAAAACAGTTGAGGTACTTTCTACAAGAAGCACATAACTGGTACTTCTTCAAGTGTCAAAATTTTTTTTCCCTAGAAGCGCTTTTCAATCATTTTAAAATCACTTCCAATCGCGCCATAACTTGCTAAATGCATCTTAAGGAAGTAGTTCCAAGAGCTTTTCCATAAAGTAATTGAACTCAACATATTTTTAATAAAAGCACTTCTAGTAAAAGTGGTTCCTACACAAGCAGTCTTAAACATCCTATATCTAGAGAAGTATATACACAAACGGAAATGATTACAAATTTTTAATCAAAAATGAAATCCGAGAGACACTTAAGACATGTGTATGTAAGGTTTGTTAATTAAAACCTTACGTATACAACTTATTGTGGGTTTGGTGTCACTCATTGTATATGTAAGGTTCTGTTTGTGCGTATTAAGGGGCATTACAGCTCATCACCATCTAACACTGAGGCTGGCATTGATGGTGACAAGAAGTTGGAAACCGACACGAACCTTATAAGTATCTTTATCATTGCCTAAACAGGCTTAAACTCAGAAAGAAAGAATATATATATTTTTGAAGTAACACTAATGATATATCTTGTTTTTACAAGCAAAGTAATAGTAATGAATTATGCTTCCTATAAGAAATTAAGAATGAAGAACAAATTATTTGAATTGTACAATTGCAACCAAATTCGGTGTACGTCCTAAAAAAATATGTGTAAGTAAGCAGGAAAAGGATTTAAATTATTGAACATACAGCAAAAATGGAAGGAGAAATATGAGCTTCAGAAACCTGGAGATAACTTAAAGATGTTAGTCACGTAATCCTCCCGGGGCATTATCTCCACGTTGTAGGTTGATGATGGTTCCTACTGGTATCACCTTTGCTAGTATCAGAAGTACCTTCATTCAAGTGTTTATCGTTTATCTTCACAACGATGTGATTGTCCTGTTGAGAATCAAGGTCTTTTCTGGACATATCTCTACCAGGTCGGTGTTCCTGCAAGTCAATGACAAAATGGATAAGTAATTACATATCAAGAACAGACGGCGATCAAAAATCATGAGATTAGTTTTCAATTATACATACATCACGGAATAGCAAGTCATCAGCCTCGAGCATGTGGATCACATGTCCCATTTTTGGCCTTTTTGTGGAATCAGGATCAACACATCGAAGAGCAACCAACAGAGCACGTTTAAGTGCTTTTGAAGCAGGCATTTCAGGCAGCTTGGGATCAACCACATCCTCTGCTTTTCGTTTCCCGACCATGGTTTTTAACCATTCAACTAGATTCACCTGATAATATTCATTAAGTTCAACTTATAGTTAGTAGCAGCGAAAGAAGACTTGATATATGAGGGGGTGGGGTTGAAAGTTCAAAACCTAACCTCTCCTTGTGGTCGACCATAATCAACAGGGCTTCTCCCAGATATAAGCTCCATAATAAGTATTCCAAAGCTATAAACATCACTCTTCTCATTCAGCATTCCCGTGCAAGCATATTCCGGTGCAACATAACTAAAGTAACCACCAAATATAAGATTCATTTTCAAACCTCAAGCACATATGACTCTTTATGCATATGTTTAGGTAAATTTGTAAATAAATTTTAAAAGAAATCGAGAACTAACCCAAATGTTCCCATCACTCGAGTTGTCACATAACTGTTCTCAGAGCACAGGAGCTTAGCAAGACCGAAATCAGATACTTTGGGGTTCCACTGGCGATCAATTAGTATGTTGCTAGATTTCACATCACGGTGAACCACCTTTGGTTCAAGACCCTCATGAAGATAGGCCAACCTGCGCAATGAGGGAACACCAAAAGGCCCTTGAATACATCAATATGGATTTCTTTTCTTAATTTTAAGGAAAAAAACGAATAGTCAAGCAAAAACTAATTTAATCTGAGTACCCTTTTGCTGTTCCCAGTATAATATTCATACGGATATCCCACGTTAGAGGGCTGACTTCACCAACATCCCCATGAAGCCACTGATCCAGATTGCCATTGTCAACGTACTCATACACAAGCATCCTACGAAAAATCAGAAGTTATATGACATCTATACACAAACTACAAGAACTGCAAACTCAAACTCAAACTCAAATTAGAAGATAAAAAAATGGGTACCTGTATGCACCCTCAACACAGTATCCAAGCAACCTTACAAGATTTTTGTGTCTCACACGCCCAATGGCTTCCACCTCCACTTTAAATTCCTTCTCAGCTTGACCCCTGATTATGGACCAGTATCATAAGCAAATGCATTAGTCACATGCATAAAAGATAAGAGATATCCAAAAGCCAAGGCACAATGTACCATCAGTTAATCATTGACAATGCAGCCATACACTAAATAGTACGAACATTGACACCGAAAAGAAATTCGAGATAAGTCCAATTTTGCATGTGGGAAGAGAGAGTAAAGTGAGAAACAGATTCTGATGCCAACTTCATCAATTCAAGCTTGACTATAAGCACAAGAAACTCAAAAAGAAGATGGGTTGGGTTCATTCTTTTCAGAAAGCATGCAACTTTACAGCACAATTCTAACAAACGCAAGACAAGAATAAAGGGCAAAAAGGGATCAAGCCGAAAAAGATAACCAAATGGTAAACATGCCAATTTATTCAACCAACACAGAAGTACCCTGTTTGGTTGCTGAGAAAATGCAGGAATAGAAAATTTTAATATCAAAAAAATATATATCCAGGAAGAAAACAACAGTTCGTTGAAGTCAATTTCAAACTGTTACTCAGACCAGAAAAACTTGACAGCGTTATCTTACACATAACCCATCTTTCTATCTCCGTGAAAATTGTACCACAATTATCAGATATCCAAACGCCCCTTCTATTTTTAGATTTTAAGCTTTCCTATTTTAATAAGGTTCTTCAATTTATAAAATAAAAAATACATAATTCAACTAAAATTTTCACTTAATGTCGAATATTACAACAAAAATATTCAAAATTGATCATCAAAATCATGTCTGATCAGAAAAAACCCACAAACCCATATCCAAATCAATCCAGAAATCACAAAATTCACATTTGAAAAAAAAGTTTCAACCTTTGAAGAAAATTTATTGAAAAAAGTACCTGTTATTCAACAAGTTCTTGACAGCGACTTTAGTCCCGTCACTGAGAATCCCACTGTAAACAATCCCATACCCTCCTTCCCCAATCACATTCTCCTCACACAGCCCATTCGTCGCCGCCTCCAGCTCTCTCAGAGTGTACCATCTCCCCCAACCCAGATGCGACACCTCCGGCCCCACCACGTTCCCGCTCCCAAATGACGCCGTCTCGCACCCACTATTCAATGTCCCCTTGCTCTCCCCGCTCGACGCCCGGTCCGAATACACCACGACCCGGTGCTCCAGCTTCCCGATCTCCACGTGGAGGTCGTTGACGATTTCCTGGATTTCCTTCGATTTGACTGGAGTAGTGGGAGAATCGGCGGCGGAAGGCTTGGGCTGGGCCTTATGGGCCTTGTGAGCCCGGGAGCGGTGGCGGGAGGTGAGGCAGAGAGAAAGGAGGAAGAGGGTCAGGACTATCAGAGCACCGACGAGGATTCCAATGACCACCCACAGACGGAGCCCGAAGATTGATGTCGTTTTCGCGAGCTGCGAGTTCACAAACGCCGCGTCGTACACCGACATTGCAAATACTGTGAGAATGACTCAGACAGTTCGCTGCTTGGATTGTGGGCTCCGTCGCATTGAGTCGCCGGAGTTTTATTTTCCGGCGATCAGAGAATCGTGCAGGTTTTTAGAGAGAGAGTTTTTGAAGGCTCAAGACAAGATGTAGTGGGAGCTGTAGTGGGAGCTATAGTGGGAGATTTTGTATAAATATGAAAATTGATATGTCTACCTGTCTGTGTGTCATTAATTTAATTTAATTTATTTATTTATATTTGTTTTTATTTTATTTTTATTATTTTTGTGTGAGGGTTTTTATCGCTGTGAGCAAAAATACTTCCTATCGTGAATTCAAAGTTTTTATTGAAATTGGATGACACGATGGAAAACATTTTTCATGTATGAAAAACACAAGTGGGTAATCACGTATTATAATATAAGTAAACAAATAGTATATTTTTCCTCATTTATTCATTTGTGTTTATGACACGCAGTGTATCTGTTTATTACCCGTTTAACGTGTTTCCTTTTTTAAGTCTTTGATATAGAGGAAAGAACGGGTGTGTCCCTTGGCCGGACGCAGACAGATGACGGTGGGACTCTCAGTGTCTCACTGGGTTTCTTCCAAATGGTGGTTGTAGAGTGAATTTTCTTGGCAGAGTAGCTTGAGCTTTCAAGCAAAATCATTTACTAACATTAATTGTTGCAACTTTGAAATTTGTATCCATCTTGATGGATTATCTGTTTTTGGATTCAAGTAAATGACTTTTCTTCTAATCAATAAGAATTTGTTTAGAAGATTAAAAAAGGTCATTTGAATTCTTCATTTGATTTTCTTATTGACGTGAGTTTTACCTTAGATTGAAATCTTACATTTAAACTCAAATATAAGTATCAATTTAACTCAAAGGTTATATATAGGTTCTAACCTTCCGTTCCTTGGCATCTCACGTGCTCTAATATTCTAGTAAATAGGGTGCTGAGTTTTCACACATGCATATTCTGGTTCAAAATTTTCTCTTCCTTAAATATTGTAATAATTTTGGACATTCATCATCCCTTAGTATTAATAAATTTAAAAAGAAAATGGAAGTAATACTAGAGAAATTGCAGAAAAGTCCTTGAATTCACTATTGTACCAAAATTCCATGAAAGCATTTCACCAACTTAGTTTTGAGTAGGAAAAAGGGATTACACAAATCTATGGGCAAAAAAGTGACCGTTATGTATTGAGAAAATTTTAAGTGTTTCTGGCACTTATGTCAGCTCTAATTGTGAGAATTTAACTTAATTATAATTAATTGAAAAGAATATCTAAGTGTCAAATTTTTATTGGTGGAAACACCACCTGGCACCAGTGTCAGGTCCTCTTAAAAATTTCTCCTACATATTAGGGTTGGTAAAGAGCATTGGATAAGTTTTATAGGTAGAAAATGACTACTCTCCAAACTCGTAACGTTGCAAAACAGTATTGTAAATTAGATTACATGTAATAATTTGTGAATTACATGTAACAACACTAATATGTTGTAAGTGATTTGGATGCTTTGTTGGGAAATTGAAGATATATGGCCGTTTGACATGCTCACAAGATACAAACAAAACTAACGGACCTAAAGATTAGACCCATCACCATTAAAAAAAAAAAGTCATAAAAACAATAAAACCAAAACAAAGTAAGCAAAGCTTAACAACCATCAAAAGAGCAAAGAGACTAATAACTAAAGGGCTCATAGTAGTTATGTCCTATCATCTTCCATACTAATGAATGAGTTCCATAACCATGAATTCCAATGTACGAGATCTTGTAGCACTTAGAGATGTTATGCATATCATACTTTAAACGTCTAATTTTAAAGCAGGTCTCAATTGTAGGTATACCTCTTAAAATAGTTAGTAGTACAACCACAAATGGATGATTGTAGTGTTGTCTTATGTTCATCGTATTTGTAAGGGTAAAGTACAAAAAACTATTTTAACTATTGGTGTCACGACATTTTCATATCTTATCTTTTAAAATTGACAATGTCATACCTCATCTTTAGAATTTGGTCCAATGTTATACCTTCCGTTACTTGGCCGTTTAGTTTTCAGTTAAATGCTGACGTGGCTTGATTCGGGACCCACTTTCTATTAAAAATCATTAAAATATTATTAAAAACTAAAAAAAATTATTTAATATTTTTTTAAATATTAAAATAATAATAAAAAGTAAAAAAAAATAAAAATTAAAATTAACCCTCAGTTCGTCCCTCCCCCCTCCTCTCTCTCTTCTCCCCATCTTCATCTTCTTCTCACCACCTGCAAATTATCACATCCCGGCCAGGGACGGATCACTTCCCTGGCCCGCTCCACCACCGTAGCACGATATTGTCCGCTTTGGGTTTACCATTCCCTCACGGTTTTGTTTTTGGGAACTCACGAGCAACTTCGCAGTGGGTCACCCATCATAGGATTGCTCTAGCCCTCTTCTCGCTTAACTTCGGAGTTCTTACGGAACCCGAAGTCAGTGAGCTCCCAAAAGACCCCGTGCTAAGTAGAGATGGGAATATACATATAAGGATCACTCCCCTAGGCGATGTGGGATGTCACAATCCACCCCCTTAAGGGCCCGACGTCCTCGTCGGCACACCACGACCAGGGTTAGGCTCTGATACCAAATTGTCACATCGCGGCCCGGGGTGGATCACATTTCCCGGGCCCACTCCACCACCGTAGCACGATATTGTCTGCTCTAGGCTTACCATTCCCTCACGGTTTTGTTTTTGGGAACTCACGAGCAACTTCCCAATGGGTCACCCATCATGGGATTGCTCTAGCCCCCTTTTCGCTTGTTCCTACGGGAACCCGAAGCCAGTGAGCTCCCAAAAGGCCTCGTGCTAGGTAGGGATGGGAATATACATATAAGGATCACTCTCTTGGGCGATGTGGGATGTTACAATCCACCCCCCTTAGGGGCCCGATGTCCTCTTCGGCACACTCGCGGCCAGGGTTAGGCTTTGATACCATATTGTCACATCTCCGCCTGGGGCGGATCACTTCCCCGGCCCGCTCTACCACCGTAGCACGATATTGTCCGCTTTGGGCTTACCATTCCCTCACGGTTTTGTTTTTGGGAACTCACGAGCAACTTCCCAGTGGGTCACCCATCATGGGATTACTCTAGCCCTCTTCTCGATTAACTTCGGAGTTCCTACGGAACCCGAAGCCAGTGAGCTCCCACAAGGCCTCGTGCTAAGTAGAGATGAGAATATATATATAAGGATCACTCCCCTGGGCGATGTGGGATGTCACAATTCACCCCCCTTAGGGGCCTGACGCCCTCGTCGGCACACCACGACCAGGGTTAGGCTCTGATACCAAATTGTCACATCCCGGCTCGGGATGGATCACACTTCTCGGGCCCGCTCCACCACCGTAGCACGATATTATCCGCTCTGGGCTTACTATTCCCTCACAGTTTTGTTTTTGGGAACTCACGAGCAACTTCCCAATGGGTCACCCATCATGAGATTTCTCTAGCCCTCTTCTCGCTTAACTTCGGAGTTCCTATGGAACCCGAAGCTACTGAGCTCCCAAAAGGCCTCATGCTAGGTAGGGATGGGAATATACATATAAGGATCACTCTCCTGAGCGATGTGGGATGTTACACAAATCCCCAAAAGAAAAAAAAAATATTTGAAAACCCATCAATCCCCACCCCTGCGGAAGAAGAAGAAGGAAAGAGAAGGAGAAGGAGAAGAAGAAGAAGGGAAAAAAGGAGAAGGAGGAAGAAGAAGAAGAAGGGAAAAAAGGAGAAGGATGAGGAGAAGGAGGAGGAGGAGAAAAAAAAAAAAAAATTTTGAAAACCCATCAACCCCCCTGCGGAATAAGAAGAAGGAGAAGGAGAAGGAGGAAGAAGAAGAAGAAGAGGAAAAAAAGGAGGAGGAAGAAAAAAAAATTTGAAAACCATCAACCCCCCTGTGGAAGAAGAAGAAGGAGAAGGAGAAGAGAGGAGAAGGAGGAAGAAGAAGAGGAAAAAGGAGGAGGAAGGAAAAAAAAAATTTTTTGAAAAACCCATCAAACCCCAAATCCACCACTTTCATCCATTCTTCACATCCTCTTCCGCACCCATCCTCCACCTTCTCTGCGCACCCATCTTCCCACCGACGAGATCTGAGTTTTTTTTTTTTTTTTTTTTCTTCTGGTTTGTAGGGGGAGAAGAGGAGTGAGGAGGGGGGAAACTGAGTGTAGGTTGGGGGAAGACAAATTGGATTTTTTTTGGGTTTGCAGGTGGGGGAAGAAGATGAAGATGGGGAGAAGAAGAGGAGGGGAGGGAAGGGGACGGACGAAATGAGGGTTTTTTTTTTTATCTATTTTATTATTTAAAAAATATTAAATAATTTTTTTTAGTTTTTAATAATATTTTAATGATTTTTTAATAGAAAATGGATCTCGAATCAAGCCACGTTAGTATTTAACTGAAAAATAAAAGGTCAAGTGATGGAAGGTTTAACATTGAACCAAATTCTCAAGATGAAGTATGCCATTATCAATTTTAAAAGATGAGGTATGAAAGTGTTGTGACATCAATAGTTGACGTAGTTTTTTGTACTTTACCCTATTTGTAATGGAGAAGCCATGGAAACATACGATAATACTATTTGACCCCAAAAGAAAGCAAGTTGTAATACGAATCTGAATCCTCTCCTAATCCTTTTGGTGAGGATCCATTTTAAATATTTTTATTTAAAATTAAAAACAAACAGTACTTGACAAAAATTGATCGCATGATGTATAAGAAATGGACACGATTCACTGATTATCTGAATCCTCACTAAAAGAATTCGAAAAAGATCCTGTGGGCTATAATACTCCATTTTTATAATTTATTAGAATAAATTGTTATAAAATAATAGGTTTCTAATCAAAATGTTGTGAAAGGATAACTTAGAATTTGATTAAAAAAAAAAAACCTTTGAGTGACATATGACTTGTTTGGAATTGTTTTTAAAGTAATTGAAAACGATTTTGATGAAAAGTTTTTTTAAACTAATTCTTAGTAAAAATTTAAGTGGATTCTAGAAAATATTTTAAATGCTTTCTGTAAAAAATATATATATAATACTTCTTAAAAAAAATTACTTCAAATGCTTTTAAAACTTAAAATTATTTTCAACTAAAGTACTTTTAGTTATTGTAAAATCATTTTCAAATCAACTCGTATTCAATCAATGCAAGTAGTACAAGAGAATCTCATATTATTACATTCTGATTGATATGACACAGGGTGACAAAAAGCTTTGAAATAAAAAACCAACAAAATAGTGGAAATCCCTATTGGAATTGTGTGGACAACAATAAAGGCAAATAATAATGGGATTTCAAAAAGAATTTTTTGTTTATTTATTATTTATTTATGCTTTTATTAATTTTCAATATTTTCTGTGTTATTTTGGTGTGTTGTGACAGTTGGGTTTCGTTCTGGTTTGGCAAATGGTTGAAGGTGAATTATTGGGCATGATGAATAATTGTCCCAAAGTCTCTTTTTTCTTCTTTCTTTCTTGTTAAGTTTAGATGTGATCATCTTCTTTGTGACAAATAAAATCAATCAATGAGGAGTATGATTTGGGATTTGGTTTACTTACTAGTGTTGTCAAACATTAGTTTCATCATTAAACATCAAAATTACTTTGGTGATTGGAAAGTTCACACATATTTAAGGTCCGATGTAAAAAGGAAGAGGAAAGAGACTTTCGTGAATACTTATGTATGGCTTACTTGAGCAATTCGAAAGCAATTTAACTGTTTTAAAAGCATTTTCAACCGTGTCTTTACATATTCACTTTACAAGTGCTTTCTAAAGCACTTATCAAAATAGACCATGATTTTCATTAACCAAAATGAAATGACATATTTAGGTTACACTAAAATTGGGTACCCAACGTTTGGATGCCAAATTTTGTGACAATTTCTTATTTGGTACAAACAAATAATTCCTACAACAAGCATATCATAACTTGTTTTTTAGTAGAACAATAACGTTAGTAGATTAAATAGTTACTTGTTAAGAGAAAGGAAAATCAGTGAGGATTCAACACGCACCAGAGTGCGTATGTATAATACTTTTCTTAACTAACGGACATCCTATCTTTCAAGGATTATCCATGCCGAAACCAATAAGAAAACGAAATCATCTAGTGCAGTTTTCACATGTGAGCTATTTATACCAGCAATAAATAATACCACAACCAACCGGCAAATTAGATGCATAATTATTTGCATGCTTCTCTGCCCCCCTCGTGTAATCTGTAAAACTTTAACATATGAGTCATTTCTCCAAACGATTTCAGCATTTTAAGAACAAGTGGGACATGAAATACACAAAAGCATCAGAGAAAGGGATTCAACAATGCCTGGAAAAAATTCAGACTTTGAAACAGAATTAACAGATGCTATCGTAAAATTTCAAGGAAAACGAAATATCAAGATACAACAGGGCGGAGCGCAACTACTATAAGAGCTGTTCCAACTGTTAGGTCATGCGAACATTATACACGTAAACGAAAGTTGTTTTCTGTTCACTTGTATATTTCATTCTTCACCCGTACCCCACCTTGTCCCAGGCAGAGTACTTGAACTACAAATATGGGAATAACCATCGAGTTAAACGTGACAAAGTAACAAATATGCCATTGACGACCACGAACCTAATGCTCTTTGTCAACTGAGATTGATTAACCATATTCGTGGTGATCATCCATGTGTCGCATCAGTCTGCTTTCTTGTCTGGTTTATCAATCGCAGCCAGCCTTTCGACAAGCGGAGGATGAGAATAGTGATATGCAGAGTACCAAGGATCAGTGTTCATAGCCGACAAATTCTCTTCCTGTCAAACCATTAAACTCCACTCAGTAATGCAAACATTTCAGCAACAAGGTAAGAGCACAAACGGAAACAACTAATCCACAAGCAACATTGATGAGAGAGGACATGACAAAAGCTATATGCTGGCCAGAGTAAAATATAAATATAGCGGAAACAACTAATCCACAAGCATCGTAGATGACAGAGGACACGACAAAAGCTATATGGGGGGCATTCATCTGTCTGCCCTATTGAACTTATATCACTAGAAGTCGGAATTTAATGGCAAGAACTAAACGAGGAAAAAAGAAACCAACAATGCGAAAAGAAATCTTTAGTTCCAGGATAAGTTTGAAATGCACCATGATTTTAAGTTTGTAACCAACAAAGAACAGATATTAGCGTCTAAATGAAGGAAGCATTTAGATAAATCACCTGTAGTTTAACAAGACCAGCTCGAAGTGCAGACGAATAACCAAGCTTCTTAGCAAAAGCATCAGCCTACAGTAAATTGAAAATGATAAAAGTAAGATCCGGCCGTAAAGAGAAAAAGGAAAGAAATGAAGAGGCAACTGATCAAGTACCTGAAATTCAAATGATCGGCTCACAAGGTTAAGAGCAAAGCTTACTATGTGCTGGATGGGTATTATGGTGTGCTACAAACAACAAAGTGAGGTTTAAATAAATAACACAGATATATGGATACAACATATTCTTTCCTCATACAGCAGTTTCTCCCAAGTCAACCGTTTCATCATAATGATCTACAGTTTGCAAATGTTCACAAACAAGTGACATATGGACTACATGCGCATGTGGTCTATATGTCAATTTCTACAATATCAAATACTCAGAAACCAAAAGGTCACTACAATTGAAGAATACAAGGAAATCGGGAGTAGCCAAAAGCTATCGATACCTGAAATATGATGAGTCCAATGATCACTGGCTGAGTATCAAACCCAAAACTTTGAAACAGGCTGCTTGAGTTTCTCACTAGAGTATATCCTCCAAACTGTAAAAATGTAAGGATCTGCGCAAAAGTAGAAAAAAATGAAGCAACCAGACAACATCATATAAAGGAACTTACTTAGAGTCAACCTGAAACATCACTAATTTCTAAACTATCTAATCAGATATTTGAATACTGCACATTTCACAAGTATGACAACAAAACATTCAAATTTTAAATAATCAATAGTCTAAGAGGACATATGTCCCTTGTCCTAGTAAGCTTTGGGGAGTAGTCACAAATTTAGCCGGTAGCCTTATGCTCTAAATTGTTATTATTCACATAGGGTATCTTATCACGATCGATACCTGGGATAGAATATGGTTATTAGAGTTGAGCATTCCAAATTATAACAGAACAGATAAAACAGTGATCCAGATTTACAAAAAAAATTACAGCATACCTGCACAGCAATAAATGAATACATTGTGTGGTTGAGCTTCCAATGGCCTAACTCATGAGCTATAACAGCTACAATCTCCTCATCATTTTTGCACTGCAAACCATCAATTATCTCATAAGACTTTTGTTGCATTAAAACGGAACAACACAATCTGAAAAGAATTATCCCTTTCAACCCATAAAAAGGATAAGAGAATAGTGGAGGAAGGCATTCAAGATGATTTTAAAGTGACATATATACATCCCTTTCACCACAATCAAAAAGTAATTATCCTTTTCTTCCCATTAAAATTAAAGAAACTTGAAGATAAGAGGAAAACAATACTTATTGGAGGACAAATAACACAATTCCAAAAGTGATGCCTCCTCACCTGTTGAATTAATGTATCATAGAGGACGATTCTCTTGTTCTTAAAAAATCCATACATATAGGCCTGTATTGTGAGTGGTAAGATGAGTCAGTCCAAAAATATGAACAAAATTCAGGACTAAATATGGTAAAGAAATAAGATACAAGGATAAACATAGAAGGGTTAAATCCTCACATTGCTGTGACTTGACCTTGTAGATCCATCAACGACAAACAACTTCTTCAATGGAAACTTGAGAGAAGAAGCAAGTTTCTCAATTTTCTGCCTGAGCTCACCCTCTGGAAGCTATTGTTGCACATAACAAAGAAAACAATATGACGAAACCGAATATAAAAGCAGAATAAATGGACTTCAGTTAATGACAAATATTTACAACACTCACAGGGGTGAACTTGTTAAAGAGAGGGGCTATTAGAACAGGGTAGAGTGTCATCATCACAAGAGAGAGAACAAACATGAATGCCCAAAGATAGATGGCCAGGTAATCACCTCCTTTCTGCAATTACACAAGTGAACATGAAATACCACCAAAATCCTTAGGATCTAGAACTAATGACCCATTCAAGTTACTGCAAATCAACAAAAAACTGCAAAAAAAGGTGCTTGCTAAAATGCTAATATAATTATGGTCTTACCTGTACAATTACAATTATGGCAGACACAATTGGTGGGCCGAGAATAACAGTGAGGCAAATTCCTTTAATCATGTCTCTGAAGAATAACCATATTGTTTGCTGTAAAACAGATAACAACATTATAAATAAATAAGACGAAAGAAATGGACGAAGAACATAATAATAGAAAAAACTGAAAAGTTTAATAATAGTAATGGTGATGGTAGCAGCAGCAGTCGTAATAATAGTTTGCTTAATAGAGAATGAGTAAACTAGAAACTTATAAGAGATACAACATGATAAGAAAGTCTGAGTACAAATGCAAACCTTATTAAAACCATGACGAGCTTCAACCACAAATGTGGAGTATAGAGAGAAAGGTAAATCAGTGATCTGCTCAAAAGAAACAAACTATCATTAACTTTAACCCCCAAAGTTAATATAATCTACAAAATCAGTGCAGTGAAAATACTAATGGGATAACTCATATATCTCAGATTTTCCCAGACATGATGTTAAAGCCTATATGATTTGTTTCTTAGGAACAACGCTGCCAATGATGAAAATCACATCCATCATACGAAGATTAAAAACCTTCTATGTTAGGCAATCAACTGAAATAAGTTCAAAAGCTTGTACAAACCATCACACTCATGAAATACACCATTAAGCGTGAGCCTCAGCAGTGAGCACAGTAGTGCTAGTCAGATTTTGTACATCTTCCCCCACCCCCCAAAAAAAAAAAAAAAAAAAAATTAAGGATATGAAAACGCTAGATTTATTTACTCCAATGTAGTACTAGACGTCTCAAAACATTTGAAGATGTGGCTAACAACACTTCATTAAATTTTTCAGAATCTGCAATGCAGACAAAGAAAATAAACACAATACTATCTTACATGCTAAGAGAGGGATATCACATTCGCACCTGTGACCAAATCATAACACCACCCAAAAACGCAAGTGTATGCCAGATTTCATTTTCAGCATTGAGGCCAGCTAAAGCCACGAAATCTGCTGATCTCTGCAATTATTGAAAACATGAAGTTAATATAATAAATATGATTTGCAGCAAAGAGGGAGGGCTCCCAATTACTAACCTTCCAAAACCAAGGCAACACCCGAAAGAACAAAATTGCTGAGTCCATCAGTATTGTCACAAACTCATGAACAAAATGGAAGCGGCTGAAAGTCAAAGAAAGATACATTAGAGCAACACAACCGTGAATGTGCACACCTAACAAAATTAAATGAGAATGGAAATTACAATATACCTTTTATCAAGACTATAGGCTCGTGACTTCTCAAACTTTTCTTGGCTGATTACTCCTTCCAAAGTTTTAGGAAGGGTTGGAAGTTTGTGAGCAGCATGTTGGCGCAAATCCAAATAAGTCTCGAAAAAGTACAATGATATCATAAACCCTGTAATATATATTAGAAAATAAGAGAAACAGTTATAGGCATTTTTCTAACCAGCTCTATCATTTGACAGATTTGAGCTGAACTATTCCAGATACCAGTAAAAACTGAGTCTTTAAAGCATAATTGCATCTCCAATCCAGAAACTATGCAATTTCAGTAGCAAAATAGTACTAAAACTCAGTTCTATTAAGCATAAAGGTTCATACTTTACGGAAAGAAAGGGGTAACCAATTCGGGTTGCCCGTCCAGAATTCGATAAAACCCAACAGTTATAACTTCAATCCGAACAAAAGTATCCACATTTTCCTAGAAACCAAACAAAATTTCTTCTATCTGAAAACATGAAAATCAATAAATCCAAACACCCACAAAGAAAGCCCAGTCCGAGCTCATCACAATAATCGCCATTAGAGAACAAAGATACAAACTTCAACTTCAAAAAAGCCCTAACATTTAATTAAAATCAAAACTGAAAAAAAAGATTAAACTTTCTGATTAAACACGATGCGCAGGACTAAACTCAATGAGTTCCCAGTCCCAGAAGAAACAAAAATTACATGAATTCTTTAAAACCTAAAATTAATTCAGCACAGTTATCAGAATAATAGGCAATGAAGACGAAGAAGATGGTGGCTCTCGATCGAAGCGAGCAGCTCAGAAAATTAATAAAGAAAAAAATTACAGGAGAAAAACAAACGAGAGAATTCGAAAAAGATGGAGGGAGAGAAGGAAATGGAGAAGTACCGATAACAGCTTCCAAGAACGGGAAAGCCATGGCTGACTAGCAAGGTGCAGAGAGAAAGAGAGGTTTTGACGAATTGAACCTGTGTGTGGTGCGAATATATATAATAGGAGACGGACTGGATCTTACCCGACTCAATTTTGAGACCCGAGATATTTTTGATAAATCTTGTAAGCAAAACCCTATTCAATCTTCTTTTTGGTGCCCTACCTGAACCGGGGCAATGACGCTCGGGTTCAGGCCAAGACACCCGTTTTTGGAAGGACTTCTTACTCAGCCCTAGGGATTGACCAAGAACTTGATGTATGAGATCGAATTTGAGATTTTTTTTTTTTAACAATCGATATTATCTACACTAAAAAAATGGATTCTAAGAACCAAGGAGTTGGGACCAAACTTGGAATCCGCTTTAGAAGCCCATTGCCAAGGATCATACATGGGAACTTTGTATCTAAGCTAAGCCTCAATAACTTGATACCCGTTACTAAAGTTGAAGACCCGACATTTTAGGTCAAACCACAAGACGGAAAATTTGGAACAGTGACCTAATTTTCATACCTAAAGTCACAAGTCAATAGTTAAAAGTAGTTTTTTTAGCGAATAGTTAAAGTAGTTATCTTTCATATTTAATGTAAATATATCGTCGTATAAATTTTTTGGTATTATTCTCATATTTGAATCCCATTGAAAACGTTATTAGCCATATTGAAACGAGGAGACAAATTCCATAACTTTGCAATCCTCTTCCCCCAAATCCCATCACATTGTCAAAATATCTCATTCAAACACAACCTTAATTTTTATTTTGAGGTGACAAAATTGAAACCCACATGTAAGCTTAGGGATGCGAGCAAAGTACTGTTCCAAGAAAGGGAAATATGAGAAGCAAGTTTTCCATCAAGGACTTTTCCCTGTATATACAAAGAAAACATAACATATTGTAATCATGTTTACACTTCTTTTTGTAAAGTTCATGCATGCCCTAATGGGGTGGTATCAAATTCACCGACCTTTTTGGGACTTTAACTAATAAAACAAACACATATAATCATGATTCACGATCACTGTCATAAAACAACTTACGTAGAATGAATTCATCACCATATGTTGTTTCAATTCAATAATGTAATATCATGTCATTTAGAGTGAAACACATGATATTGTAGTATTAGTAAAGTTCTAAAAGATGCTGGGCGCTAGTCGAAGAGTGAGTTGGGGTCCAGCGCTTAGGCGGACTTAAGTAAATATATTATATATCGTATAAATAAGTGTTAGCTTATAGTTAAAAAATACATAATTGCAAAATAGAATGACATATAGAGTATAAAATATTAGAACATAATGAAAACATGAGGGAATAAGCATATAATGTGTGTTTATCTAAATATTCAACGTCTCGTACAATTTATTTAGAACAATGAGTATCAAATAAACGCCACATTAATAGTAATGAACTTATTCCATACAAGTCATTTATGCTATTGTTAGCGAATACAATCATAACTGTGTATAACTTCATTAAATGAGCGAATCATACGAAGTACACTCTTGTCATGCAATCTCCTCAAATAGATTTCGCTCCCACTCACATGCTTGTAGTTCAATGAAGGCCGTTGGATACAATACAACTACGATTTTTTAATACGCCTGCACTTATCCTTAAAATTAAGTTACAAGCACATAAACCATCAAAATGCTAATCATAATTTTGAGAAATTGGCCATAGTTTGTCAGTCATGACCTCCCTTTCCATGTTTGGAGTATGATTCAATTTAATCCTAATTTTCCGCAATAAGCAATACTAATCACCATCAAATCTTCAACCACCTGATTTCTTAGGCCAAAACCTACGACTCGGCTTTAGAATTTGCTTCAGTAGAACCATTTTAGGAACATTCCAGTGCTCTACATGCCTGAAAATTTCCATAAACATTCACTAATTATATGTCACAATGTTGGAAAGATAGAAGAAGTTACATTGTTTTAACAAAGTTACCTGCACACTTTTCCTGAGACCGCATCAAAGTAATACTCTGTGTATCCACTTGCTGCAACATTTCTCAATAGTCAGATACACTACTATTTTATGTGTTATAATACGAGCGATAAACAAATTTATAACGTGAGTGGATAGGTGTCACCAGATAACGATGCGGCTAATTGAGGAGAAACTAGTTAAACGAAAGGTTTTGTTACGTGGATAAGTTATGAGGATTTTAGAGCTCAATAGGATTGAAGCTAAAAGCATACCAGATAGAATGGGCCTCCAAGGGAATGTCAAGATACAACTAAATCTCCAGTGACCAATTCCTTTATCCTGTGTGACCAAATAATTAATCAAAGTTTAATGACAGATTTATAGAAAGCATGGGAATGATATTATCTTATAAAAAATACTTCTGCACATAAACGCTTTTGCTGAAAGTGTTTGATTTTTTAAACACAAGAAAAAAATTTATTACAAATTCATGTGTTTTTTTAAACAAAAGGACTTACTCAATATTCACATTTTCGCGATGTGCTAAATATAATTTTCAAAAACACTTTTAAGTTTTTCCAACAAACGAAGAATTAAAAGGGAAATGCAAAATTTGTATATGGTGATGTGAATTACCTCAAAATCTTCCCACTTCATAAGCTTCATATTTGACTTGACTAAAAGTGATCCAAAATTAGTGCAGTTCCTCTTGAAACGTTGCAGGCCTCTGAACGAACTTGCTGGATCAGCAAACTCACAATCCTCCTCATATGCATCAAGCCTAAGGTTCCCTGGCAACCAAACGTTGTTAAGTTGGCGGTTTATCGGATTCGGACCCTATTCGGATCAACGAACACAGCATTAAGAAACACACAAGAGAAAGAAAGAGAGAGGTCAATGAAATCCAATTGGGTTCTGAGAATACCTGTGACGAAGTATGATCTCTCAAAGTCTTCTTTGATGGATTTAACTACCACCGCACGATCAACCGCTCCCGACCCGTCTCTTGCAAGCTCGAGGGCGGGATCAGGAGGAGGTTCGGATGTAGACGGTGGCCGGAAAAACGACGTGGCAATTCCAAGAAGCTCGGAGCTGTACCAGGCCACCTTAAGCAATGCGTTTTGAGGTTGAGATTCTTTGTCGGTTGGGGAGTTAGTTGTTCGGTTTTCTGCTCTGCAACGAAATCTGTAGCCGTTGTGAGGAGGGTTTGGCGGGAAACTGAGGTGGTGTTGGTGTTGGGCGGTGAGGCCGGGAGGAATGGAAGCGTAGGAGAAAATATGCGCCATTTTGGAGAGAGAGAGAGAGAGGAGAGAGGAGAGAGGAGAGAGAGAGAGAGAGAGAGAGAGAGAGAATAGGTGGTTTATATTTGAGTTCTGTGAAGTTTGTACAGAAGTCGCTTATTATCTTAAGACCTCAGTGAATGGCAGCCATAAATAATTTAGAAGAAAAGAAATACGAACAAATAAAATCGGTTACAAATTTTTTATTAAATCGGAATAAGAGAGAAAATGAAGTTAATGAACTCATAATAATTGGTTATACCTTTTTAAACGACTTATTGTCTGCTTAATATCTTAATTCGATTTAATAATTAAAATTTCAAAGCAACACTATTTCTACACATTTACTGTACTTGAAACAAAACTTAGCACTGGATGTATACCCGTCGTGCCCATCTTTCTTCTCATGTGACACATCAGATGACGAGAGAGATACGCACAAAGGGAGGCAGCACCTAAGATTCAGTCTCCTTTGAGGCTTTGCTATTTTACAATTACCAAACAAGTCGATGCAATCAAAGCTGGAAAACATACAGGAAAACTAGCAAAGCTGGAAAACGGAAGATTATACGAGCGTGAAGCAAAAAAAAAAAAAGTATCTAACGTACAACACACCAGCATACACTGGATCGGATTCAGCTGCTTCGGTTTGACTATGCTGGAGATTGTACGAATAGTTAGAAGTTCGTGATCAGTTTACGAGCTGCGATTCTCTTACAGTTTGCGAACTTCAGTTATGTTAGTCGCTTGTATGTATAAATAAAGCTGTACTCTCCGTCTGATTGATTATTTGATGAGAAAAAACCTTCCGGTTCATTTTCTTTCCAGCAGCCGAACTGGTGCTTAGATTGCTTCATCTGCACACTCTTCAATTTCTTCGATAAGGCGCCAGGTACAAGTTCCACGGTTCACTTCAGCATATCATTTCGATTGCAGAAGGTAATATACAAAACTTCCTAGGCAGGAATCCTAGATGTTCGCCGTCAGATTGAACATAAATGCTGCCACTGCCTGAAATGTCTTCCACCTCAATAGAATGCACGCTGCAAAAAGAAAAAAAAATACATAAATGGGATCCAAAGACAAATTGCCACACGTAGGAGCTGCAGATGAATTAACTCTTGGGCAACCAATTCAAAGCATTTGATTCCTCACGTTATGCATGCTGGTGTGATGAAACAAGCAGCGAGAGAGAGAGAGAGAGAGAGAGAGAGAGAGAGAAACAGGAGTAAGTTATTGTGTAACGTAATGCAACTCGACCTAGTAAGGCCTACCTTCTTGAAGATACATTTTTCATTGTTAGATGCATCCCATTGTAGAGCTTATGTAGCTTCAGAATAAAGTCATACCACTTGAAGCCTTGAAGGATCACAACCTGCTAAGAAAGTTTATAACAAAGATCAAATGTACTCGCAAAGACACTGCAATGTATAAAGTTTCATTTTAAAGCTAAAAACATTATTGCAAATAGTGAGGAAGGTTAAGTGCAGAAAAACAAATCCACCTCAAAATTGCCGCTGCGAGGGTCAGCATTTGGTGTAATTTTCATACCACCACCAAAGTATTTTGCATTTCCAACACAAAGGGCAGTTACTTGAGAGTATACTTCCCACTCCCCTTCATTGACCTAAACAAAAAACATTCTATTAAGCAAAACAAAAGGTACAAGAGGGGAAATTGCATGCGTGTGACATACAGACTATTAGTGCTCAATATTACAAATATTGACCTTGATTTTAAGGTCCTGATTACGGTGCCCAACAAAAGCTTTTAATGAACCAATAACGTAGCACAAGTTTCCAAATCTCTTGTAACTAGAAGCATGGAATCCTGCTTTTGCACTCCTGCAACATATCCCCAAAAAAATGGCAAGAAGACTTGCTAAGATCGGCATCTGCCTTT